TGCAAATGAGATTTGAGAGCTTTAGTGGAGACAAAAATGATTAATTAACAATGACTTAAATTGTTCTATTTTTTCCTGGAAGGCTATCATATAACTTCGGAAGACTTAGAATATAGATGTGTGATCATCCTTCCCTCCTATCGGTTACACTTACTAAATTTGTCTTCCATGTCAGGACAACAGAAACATTACAGTATCCCATCCCTTTATCATTGTGGCGCAAGCTGTCATATATCATGAGCGCTTAAACTTGGTTGGTGATGTCATGCTGTTGACCTTGAATCTTTGTGCGAGCGAGTCCTTACATAACAATGCCACACAGACTACTAAGGAAGCATCAATTGTCGAGACTCCAACTGGCCTCGGGGCACCACTGAGAAAATGACAACCCATAGACAGGGGAACGAAATTGGATAGAACAAGGGATTATTCAACAGGGGACACTTACAAAATTGTGAATAACATTTGTGAGGGTCCACACAACAGGAACACTGAAGAAAGGAATGCTCAACAGTACAATGTGAAGCATTCCTACGCCGAGCGCATACGTCAGCCATATCCCTCGACTGTTCATCACACGGGTGTTTGGGTTGACTTCACTGTGGGCCACACCGACGTTCATCTTGCTTTTCTGTCGATAGACAAAAAACAGTACACTGTAAAACATGATTTTTAGAAGAAGTTGGAAATAAGAGTTTACTGGAGTGCATTTTACAAGAAAAAACGAATTTTCTATTTCAAAGTTGCATATTTGATTCAATGCTACTCACTGTTTCTTTGTTATTGGTTGTGAAATTTGCTAGCAATTTCTGTGACACTTTATTTTGTGTCCTTGTTACAGTGTAATTATACATTTAAGTACGGAGTAATATTAATTAACTACATGTACTTACTATATGGTTAGGGTTAGGAGTTACTTGCATGTAATAATGCACAATTTATTGTTATAATAATAGTAAGTACATGTAACGTGTAACAGGGACACCTTAAAAATACCGCAATTTCTGAGTGAAAACTGTTTCTACACATGATTTTTTAATGTAGTCCAAAATGTCAAAATGGAAACTGCGAGTCAAATAATACATTAAATGCAACAAAATCTGTATAAATAAAATAATTAAATTATAAAGACCTGATTACTTAATTGTTAATTATGCAGTTAATTAAATAATACAATTAATAAATAAAACATAACATTTTGTATTTAAATTATTATTATTTTTTTTAAAGAAATGATTAAATCGGCCAAAAAAAACAACATTCAATTATTTGGCGAATCAATTCACTTATAACAATGAATTGATCAAATGACTAACATAGATAAAAGTGTGTTGTGATTAAGTGTTTTTTGTTTTTGCATCAGAACTAAAAGTAACATTTCAGTGTCAGAATCTATTTAGCAGCAGTCTAGTTCATTTCAGTGAAATAAGATGTAAAACTGATTGTTAACTATTCAAAATGCACGATCATTTATGCACTACTAAAATCTACAATCTATAGTTGTTGTTTTATGGCTTTAAAAGTGTTACAGATGATGTCTCGTCTATATATGCCAACAGAAGCATGTTCACAAACACACAATGGGGTGATTCTTTATAGTACTTTGCCCTAATGCATTACTGTTCATGCCGGCCAACTTATTCAAATTATGTGCAAGAGTTTGGTTCTTCTTTGGAAGAGCAAAAGGGTGAAAGTGACATTTTATGGCCTGCTTGCTTTATCCTCCATGGTAAACATTCTGTGCAGCTGTTCGAAAGTCAAAGTGCAATGTTACCTAATATACATATTTTGGTTGTTTCTCATCTAATGATTTCTCACCAAAAATCATTTACTCATCTTGGTTTCTACTCACCAAGTCAGCTGCTTT